AGAAGTCGCCTCAAAAACAGTGTTTGCGTAATCAGCTTTGTCAGGGTAACATTTTAGTGCAAAATTTACAAGAGCCATCTGCAAAGAAAAAAATGCGGAGAAATAAAAGCTAAACAAAGAACTTTATTTAGATACATATACTACAGGCATATGCTTAAGTGCTACACAGGTTTTACTCGTTCTCCTAAAACACACCCAAAGAACTGTGATAACAATAAAAAAAAACATCCAACAGAGCGTAAGTAACCTGCAAGGCAGCGATATCCTCTGGAGGCATATCCTGGCGGCTTTCAATAACTGATCCAGCCTGTTTCGAAAATATATCAAATAGAGGTAAGTCGTCAGGTATCTTACCCCCTTCTGAAGTTGTATAAATAGCTAGACGGTCGATAAGCGCAATAAGTACATTTTTAATCTGAAGCATCACTGACTGGTTTTACTGATAACTATGAAAAAGAAATTCAATATAACGAGCCCACGTAAAAAGCTTATACCCATATAAAACAAGGTTTCGTACTTTTACTTCAGACCACAACAAAAGCTTGGTGAAAAATGACCAAAAACAGTAAAATGAGATAGAAACGCAGATGTTCTTGACCTGCTCTCAACAAAAAAATCAAAACTATTACAGGCATTTCCAAATACCAACCAAGAAGAGGTTTACTACCAAAATCCACAACTTCTTTATTAAAAGCAAATTCTGGACCGTAAGTAACATCTTAATTCACATAAGGGATTAATTAATACCTGAACTCCTTGGTGCAATTCTGAACAAGCATTTAAAAATTCATGCAGCGTTGCTAGGTGGTACTCATTTGGAAAAACTTGTATAACACACTCCATTAAATACTCTTGCGAAATTGGGTCATTACAAGACACAGATTGCTCGAGAATCCCAGGCAACACAGTCTGAAATAATTTACGCCGCCACTCAATAATCCTCAAACTAAATACCCGAGTAATGACACAGAGCAAGACTACTTTACCAACCCAGAAAAAAGGTTTCAAAAAAATATCCAACAGCTTTCTCAGCGACTTTGACTTTTTTTTTTTACTTCGACTAGACCTTTTGAAAATAATACCGGAAAAGTAACTAACCTTCCGATACATGTCAATGTGTAAATGTTCTAACTGTGACATGCGCACGAGATTAGTTCCCACCAAAATCCTCAGTTCCCTTCGTTCCCGTTCCCTTTTATCTTTTTCTTTACTTGGCCCCTGATGCTGCATTCTCACCCAGAGTTTATTCATTTCGCGGAAATTAAACATGATAAATTCAATGGCGTCAGTAACACTTCCTTTGTCATCCTCTCTTAAAAAAATTGTCGTTATTCACAGAAGTTATTCTACGCTTCTACTTATATTTAATCAGTACGCACCGCAAGTATGGTGCATTGGACAATTTTGAAGTGAACTTTTAAATTTATTACGCTGTGTCTTCAGGAAGGTCAGGGAGAAGGTTTCTTGTACACTGTAAAAGATAATTTCTAAGGAATAAACCCCGAAGCGGATGTTGAACTCCACAGCACATCTCAACCAAATCTTTTAATATCTCTCGCGGGCTACCACCTTCAGCTTTAATATATACTACTCCAACTGTCACTAAGAGATACCTATAACACAAAAACATAAAACCCCAGAATCTAACTTCAAACAAGAAGCCACAATTTTTTTAACGATTATATATGCATTAAATCATAGGGAACCAAGTAAATTCCACAAGAAACTCACAATCTCGGTATTATGTTTGGAGCATGTTGTACCAGCTCATATAACTCAGCAATTTTCTTCCCTCTTTCGTACTCCTCGGTTAAATGAGTTTCCAAATGCTGCAGCTCGTTCGTTGCGTCAACATCTAAGAATTTTCTTAAGAAACTGTTCAATTTTTGAAGCAAGCTTAATCTGAATGAGCCCTTGCAACTATTACCGCCCTATGAACTCAAAAAAGATAATTTAGCAAAGAAGAACCACAGCTCCAAAATACGAGTGAAGGCTATAAACCTTAAGCTTTAAATCTAAATCCAGTCCCGAAAGCTCTAAAAACTACAACTAATAAAGTCAACAAGCCTCGGAACTACCACAAGCAGCGTGGACCACGTGCCTAACAACTCAGCTCATAACAAATTTAGCGCCGCCCATCCAAAAGACAACTTACACAGTCGGTAGTAGTATTTCGGAGTCAAGGCCCCTGTCCTTAACTCGTTTAACATTTGAGTAGCGTGATGTAAAGCATCTTTTAGTAAACCTTTGTCCAAACACCTTTTCATCTCAAATGCTTCCGTCTTAACTAACCGGACTGCCTCATCCAAAACCTTCTCCTGCTCCGTCGGAGACAAATACATATCCTCCAACTTCGTCATCTACAAAGATTCATTCCACTTCAATAATTCACAGAGCACTGCAACTGCACACCACCGAAAAATCACTAAATCATGAGTAGGTCATCAATCTAAGCAAGAAGATTATGTCGTACAGAAATAACTAAATTTAGTTCAGAGTAATTCTGAACGGTAAGCAACTGATCCACTTCTACACCAAACAGCAACAATGTAATTGAAAAAACTTTAACTTTGACCATGCTCTAGTAGAAATCTTTCACTTCGCAAAACAGCTTTGGTAGACACAGCGCAAAAACAAACTACTTGAAACGAACCAAGCACCAACCTAGACATTTAAAACGCCTAGTACACCAACGCTGCCAAAAAAAGAACGAAATTAGATCACATCCACAACTGTCACTTTCAAAAAATCACCAGTAAAGTGAAAAGACAGTAGCACCGCTGAGAACTCTGCATCTAAAATTTCTAAACTACAGAGCATAAAATCAAAGCTACAAACGTCCCTACTGAAATCCAAAAATAATAACCGATGATAAACGTGAAACTGGTATTCCTACTCATAGAATCCAACGCGTAAAAGATCAACAAATTCTCAAGCGGAGTTTTACAAAATAATCACATAGCAACAACCTCACATCAATTAAACAGCATAATATCAAGAAATATGAAACAAAGAGACCATAAAAAAATTCTAACGGAAGTAACTATCCGGGATATAAACTTTGCTCAGTCCCTTTTCTTTTTGCGAGGCGAAGGTTTCCGAGGAAAACTGCTTGTAAGAATACAGCAGGCATAGAGAAACAAACGGACAAATAATTTCAACATATAAAAAACTGTAATTATAATCAAAACCAAAATAGAGAGCAAGAACGCGATGACATCAACGAGAAAGTATTGAAGAATGTTCAAGTGATCAGCGCCTGATCGTGCATGTGGAACCTAAAAGTAAAACCTAATTGAACTTTATAAAGCAAAGAGGAGATTCTATTTGCATTTCAAACGATACGCACTTCCTGATGTCGTTCTATAAACTCGACCCAAAAAGCCGAATGATTGAGCTCCGAGTACGGGACATCAGTGACCATGTCTCTAAACACTAGAGCCTCTTCTCTGTATCTGCAATAAAAGTGCAACTTACATTACCTAATCTGCAGCGTCCCCAGAAAACGAAAAGACTAAATCTGGCTTGTGGCTAAAACTATACTTAGTTTTGTAAATGCAGTCAATGGCTTCCAACACAGCTTCCTTAGTTATGTTTCTTTTGAACAGCATAATTCCAGCGTTTCTTGCTGTCACTCGTAACAAATTATCGTAGCCCCGAGCAGTGAGGGGAAATCCAATCACAGGTACTCCATGCCACATGCTCTCAATGACACTATTGAGACCACCATGAGAAATATGAGCTTTAGTTTTCGGATTGCCTGAAATAAAAAACCAATTACACTTTACAGCTGCTGCCTTCATTAGATTACTTTGGTAGTTTCTGTAAAAAAATTGCTTCACAAAACCAAAAACAGAATTCAAGCAAAATTCAACTGCCTTATCGCTTTACAAAACTACTTTTGAGCGAGTCATATCAAAGAAATAAATAAAGTGATAAATAAGATCAGAACAATTTTCAAGAGCATTGGCTATATTCACCAAGTATATCCTGTTGCGGCAGCCAACTTTTTATGTAAACATTTGAAGACAAATGTTTAAGCTCCGGACCATCGTACTGCCATACAAACATCACATCTTTCCTTTCAGCGAATGCAGAAACAAAAATATCCTAAAACTCCTGCTTAGAAAAATACCAAATCCTGCTACCAGAACTGTCTTAACGCAAAAAAAAGAAACATCATCAGCTTTTTTATATGTCACATCAAAATTAAACCAAATCTCTTCCACTTACTATAATGCGCTTCGGAGCTCTCTTCCAATGCCCAGTAAAACCTGTGGAAAACAAAATCACACCCCGATCATTATTTGCTTGTTCGAAAAAAGATGCTAATTCCTTAAAAATAATAACAATTACAAACTCCGAGAAAAGAGCAGTAAAACAAAAATAAACCAATACCAACTGAAAACAAAGTTTATTTGATCTAATAATGCCACTAAAGAACAAGAACTAAATCATAAATAGTCATAAATAGTAATTCAAATATTTTTTACCCCTTTTAAAGGTCCTGCTCCCTTGCAATGTAACCCACCAACAAAATTAACCCTTGGCATATAGGGCCTAGCAAAGTCAAAAATAGGAGGAGTGTTCACAAAATTGATTGAAGCGTTCCGTTCAATATAAAAAGCCTCTGGCACCTCTCCCGAATAGTATTTCTAAAACTTTATATTCTTTGTAAGTATCAATAGTATAACAGTATTCCTACCATCATAAGAGTCAGAATCTGTAATCACAAATGAAAAAAAACTTCCAGCACCTGAAAAACCTTGTCAATTCTCCTTAATATAACATGTTGATGAATATAAATAGCTTTTAGGTAAGCAGCCATATTATAAGATCGTTCCCAAAAGTTAAGTTCATCCGTTAGTCTTAAAATGTAATGTTAAAAGACGAAGAAAATATGTGAAAAAATTGTAAACAGCAAAGAATAATTTCTGTACTAAAACGTTGAGAAGTACAGATGAGCAAAATAAGTAAAGACCCGGTTCCAGGTACTGGCAGATAGCTTGGCGGACTCGGACTTTGGTTCGCCCACGCTGATTCGGTCCGTAGCGCTGTTAGTGACCAGTAGATGAAAACGCTCTTTTGAAGACCAACATGAAGTAGACCACAAGGATTATACAAATCATCAAGAACAACCGTATCGAAGCGTTCCGCCACCAGATTATCAAAAACACTTTTTTTTGTTTCCAGCAGCTAAAAATTATTCTCAATAGGCGCAGGCTACTTTTCAAATCCCCTTCGTTAAGATTATACCTGGATAAGACAAAAAGAATCACTCCTGAAGTTAATTGTCAAAATAGCCTTTACATGTGATCTACTCATTGCATGGTATGAAACCAACTTTATCACATAGTCTCAAGCTCAAAATCCAAGCGGACGTCTGTTCAGCATCGTCATTGAAGTCACCGGACCATATACGAGTGTGAATCGAATGGTTATGATGGACATAAATATCGTAAACTTCTGGATCTTCTAATTTTACTTCGTAAAAAGCTTCTTGCACGCCAACCGGTAATTCCACAACAGGCTATAAAAGACGACCTCAAAAAAGTATAAACAAGTGCAAAAAGTACATATAAACCATAATTAAAAAAAAAAAATAATGGCCTAAGCGGTAGGCAAAAGGAAAAGCATATGAATAAATCCCCAAATTTACCGAAAAGGCGCAAAACAACAAAAGATAAATCGAAGTCGACAATACAGGTCCCACTGTAAATACTTACCTTCTGTAAACCGTATTCAAACCATGTAACCTCGTGATTCCGTTTAACTAATTCGGCAGCCAAATGGCGCATAGTGAACCGATGAACAGGAAAAATAGAACTAGGCATTATCAGAACTTTTCCTGCATCGGTAACAAAAGCAAAAAAAAGTAACCAAACGATTTTCCTCCACATCCCTGTTACCTTCAAAATACTGTCATCACAGTGGCAGAAAAAATAAAAGTGCCACACATAAAATTACTTCCAAAAAGAAATGCCAGACAGAGAAGTTAGGTCGAGAGAAAACAGTGTAGAACAAAAATAGAAAAGTTTAGGAGAAATAAAAGATAAAAATTTCAGAGGCGCTAGAGACCCTCAGTAGTTTTTAAAACTGTCTAAAAAACGTTTCAAACAGAAATAAGAGGGTTAGGGGATAACTGAAAGAACCGTAAACGAAAGAAAAAAAACTTCTCCCAAAAAAACCTACTAGGGCAGTACTTTTTGTTATCAGTTGGTCAATGCCAAATTTGGCGTTTCAAATGCAATCAGTGAACTGCATTAACTGTGCAATTATGGGACTATTTCCAATAAATGGTCAGCCTGCATTTCGTTAATGCAAATAAATATGAGTACACTCGCTTCATTATACAAGACAGGCAAAGAAAAAACCCCAAATAAATCTCCTTTACATAACATTACCGCACGACCGCAGAGTTCATCAAGAAAAAAAAAACAGTACATTTTCAAAGTCATTAATATAAAAAGTCTGAATGCACACTTTAATGGACTACTTAAGGTAGTCCAGGTTCTTATACAAAAACACTGTATGCCTTCTTTACTTCCGACACCAGAGCAAATTGAAGCAAAGAGATAAGAGGTAAATGGGGGTCATCATCAATCACAACTCTCGCAGAATAAATTCTTCCCTTTTTACCTCACCAAATCAAAGAAAAAAAAGAAACCAATTTAATTCAGAGGTCATCTTTCAAAATAACAATTACTTCTTCAAAAACAGCTTATTCAGAGTATAAAGCATCTAGCAGACTTGCTCTAGAAACTTTGTTGTTCACAGGCCACTGTAAAGAGTAACCACCAGATCATTACTAATTGGTGAAATAAGCTTGCGTGCTGTTAAACCACAGAAGATATGAATTAATTAACACTGAAATTAAAACTCAGACCTCTCTCAAAATCTATAACATTCTGTATTCTTCTGTCCTTCCTACTTTGTAACAGCAAAAAAATAAACTGACGTGGTAGCAAAATGAAACCACCACACTTTTGTTACCGCACGGTTCAGTTACTGCCACACTTCTTACCTTTTAGGAAATTATTTAACAATTCCCAACTTTGTCAGGTGAAAAAATCCAAAAGAATTATTCCTCAAAATCTAATAAAAATGGTAGCAAAACTTTAAAACTAAATCTTGGCGCTTTCAAAATAAGTAACCTTTTCCAAGATCAAACAATCTAAACTGTATCGCCAAATAATTTCGTCAAGTTGTGTCCAAACGGCAGCTGCTTTTGAATTGAAGAGAAACAAAATATTTGTAAAACCCCTTCCATTTTTCACACGTTCTACAACCAGAAAAATTTTTCTAATACACCAAAACACCAACCCGCACTGCTTTATCACCATAAAAACCAAAAGGGTCCGAATGCGAGGCAACTGCTTTCAAAGGCGTAAAATGGCTCAGCGACTGACAGGTTAAAAAAAAAAATAAAGTTAGTGGTACTAATACAAAGTTCTTTACAAAAAGGATTGTTATCAGTAAAAGAACAACAAATCAATTTTTTACTTAAAAAGCACCACAACGATTTATTTCTCAGAATCGAATTCATTTTTTCCGTTACAATCTAACTTTCGCTGCAACCAGCTCGCAGCCTCCTGCCTATCTAGAAATTGTTTACCTTAAGAGATAACGGCTGTCTCAGCTAATCACGCTTTTCCCGTTCAGAGTCGCTTACGACTAAGCCAATTCCCGCAACCAAAAGATAAAGACCGAACCACCATTGCATCGAATGAATTTCATTAAATAACACGGCTCCAATCAAACTCTGGAAAACATTTTTCTAAACGCTCCCACTACGAGCGTACAAACGTGTCTAGATAAAAACCTTGAAAACAGAAACTTATTACGAAGGCTTGGAAACAGTAGTTCGCGTACAGTAACCTATACACTAAAAAATTTTGTCTCCCGTTACAGAGAACCTTCAAAGGACTTAATATTCATAATAAACAGCCCAAAATAAATTTTTGTAAAGATAACTATCAATGAGAAAGAACATACCGCAACAACGAAGTTAGTCCCTGTATTTATTGCGACAGTCTATAACAAGAAAAGGTCGCTTAGGAGAAAATTATAAAAACAAATATCCATATAAACAAAGGTGACACGAAAGAAAATTTTGTTAACTGTTGTATCCAAAGTAAAGTCATTATAAAAGACCTGGAAAGTTGTTGAAGACGACTTCAAGCTTTGGATATTAGCCCACCACATCAGCACGCTGAAAACCAGATAACACACAAACCCAAACAACATTAAGGCCTAAACAAATAACGGAATGTCAAAGCTGCAGACAGCAAAAAATCAAAATTATGACAAAAGTGTTCAACTTAAAAACTTGTTCTGAAACAAAGGTATCAAACTATATTCTAAAAAGTACTGTAAAGCACAGCCTTTTAAAGACTTTCAAATTTATCAGGTTCACCTCTACTACGATTACAAAATTTAAACTAAAAATGAACGACTTAGACTGAAAGAACCGATAAGCGAATGAACAATAAGAGCCTATAACTAACTTTGGGGACATCATCCGCGAACGATAATTTCACAATCACCGCTGTAAGCGCGGCAAAAAAACCAGCCAATACTGAATAGTACATCAGTCATGGAACTTGGAAACCATGTCACAACCGTATTCTAAATCACAAAAAGAAATAAATAAAGCTGTTAAAAAGATCCTAGTCTTCAAATAAGTTAACGACGCATCTAACATTATCAAATCATGAAGTGACCTCATCCAGCAATTGCTTATATACTTCAAAACCAATG